AATATCCTAAAGGGCGGAATTATGGCTTTTATAGGGGTTACACTGGGCAACAAGTCTTGACAAGTCTAAACTTGTTCACAGCTCCGCTTGCGGTAATCCTTTCTTGGAGACGAATATTGACAAGTCTACATGAAAGGGGCGGGGCTTATGCCACCGACAAGTCTCAACAAGTTCTCGGAAGGAGGCGGAGCTTTTGCCGGGGGGGGGGGGGCTATAAATCTAGAAAAGGTAGGACTGTTTCCACAGAATTCAGTGAGCGATTAGAAATTTGGGCGCGTCTTGTCATCGTGTTTACTACGAACGTTTGAATGGACTGTTCTCTGTGAGCGATAAGACGAATTGAAATTTCATAATAGTTTAGATCGAAGAGCCCTCCAGACCTCATGAATTATGCCGTCCGATGATGACTTCTGTTCACCGAAGCCTCCGATTCCGTTTCTGGCCGCTCCACGGTAAACCGCTTTTTCTAAAACAATTCATATTAATTCCTGGAATTTCTTTTTTTCAGGCGACCTGAGAAGAAAGGTGATGTCCAATCGATTCCTATCGTTTCTGTCGCGGGTTCGAGTCTTTACTCTGAATTTTGTGGTGGGAAAGATGGTAAGTGCAACTTGGTTTGTTTCCTTCTGCCAAAGGTTAAGTAGAGCATTTAGGGAGACGGTCAAGACAATCGTAATTTACAGCTCGGTCGCGCGCGGCACATCATGCTGCGGTGCAGAGACTGCATGTCTAACAATAGGGTTCTTTTATATCTCTTAACTTTGAAATCAAACGGCCAGGCAGAACAACTCGTCTCCCGCGTGCGCGCATACGACTCTCATTGGTTCGCCCATTTTCCAATCTTGTTGCCCAGTTGCTGTTAACTTTTTGCATATTATGGGTATGGGCTTAAGGGAAATGATTTCAGAAAATGCATCAGGATCAGATAACCAATTAAGCGACACCTGTGCTATTTGTTCTAAGAATCTTTCACATTTGAATGACATCAGAAAGTAAGTTTTTCTATCGTTTTTGCAGTCTTTTATTCTAGGAACGACATACATTTTGTCTTGTCAGTGTGTGTCATTTTCAATGCGAGAAAGCCGTTTTCCTTCATTAAATTTGTGTAAGCGGCTGAGTTAAAGCCTGGGAGCGTACATGATGTTCATACTTCGCGATCCGCTCACGCGATTGAAGCGGTCTGATCGAACGCATGAACGCGCTG